AGTTGAACTTTTTTGTGGAGGCGCATAGCCCGACTTGGTTCAACCGTGGTTGAACTTGTTGGCGAAGGCGCGTAGCCTGAGTCCCGGTTCAACCGTAGTTGAACTTGTTTGTGAAGGCGCATAGCCTGACTTGGTTCAACCGTAGTTGAACTTGTTGGCGAAGGCGTGTAGCCTGACTTGGTTCAACCGCAGTTGAATTTGTTGGTGAAGGCGCATAGCCTGAGTCCCAGTTCAACCGTAGTTGAACTTGTTGGCGAAGGCGCGTAGCCTGAGTCCCGGTTCAACCGTAGTTGAACTTGTTGGCGAAGGCGCATAGCCTGACTTGGTTCGACCGTAGTTGAACTTGTTGGCGAAGGCGCGTAGCCTGAGTTGGTTCAACCGTAGTTGAACTTGTTGGCGAAGGCGCGTAGCCTGAGTCCCGGTTCAACCGTAGTTGAACTTTTTTGTGGAGGCGCATAGCCCGACTTGGTTCAATCGTAGTTGAATTTTGTTGGCGAAGGCGCGTAGCCTGAGTCCCGGTTCAACCGTAGTTGAACTTTTTTGTGGAGGCGCATAGCCCAACTTGGTTCAACCGTGGTTGAACTTGTTGGCGAAGGCGCGTAGCCTGAGTCCCGGTTCAACCATAGTTGAACTTGTTTGTGGAGGCGCATAGCCCGACTTGGTTCAACCGTGGTTGAACTTGTTGGCGAAGGCGCGTAGCCTGAGTCCCGGTTCAACCGTAGTTGAACTTGTTTGTGGAGGCGCATAGCCCGACTTGGTTCAACCGTAGTTGAATTTTGTTGGCGAAGGCGCGTAGCCTGAGTCCCGGTTCAACCATAGTTGAACTTGTTCGTGGAGGCGCATAGCCCGACTTGGTTCAACCGTGGTTGAACTTGTTGGCGAAGGCGCGTAGCCTGAGTCCCGGTTCAACCGCAGTTGAACTTTTTTATGGAGGCGCATAGCCCGACTTGGTTCAACCGTTGTTGAATTTTGTTGGCGAAGGCGCGTAGCCTGAGTCCCGGTTCAACCGTAGTTGAACTTGTTCGTGGAGGCGCGTAGCTTGAGTTGGTTCAACCGTAGTTGAACTTGTTGGCGAAGGCGTGTAGCCTGAGTCCCGGTTCAACCGTAGTTGAACTTTTTTGTGGAGGCGCATAGCCCGACTTGGTTCAACCGTGGTTGAACTTGTTGGTGAAGGCCCATAGCTTGAGTCCCATATTGTGGGTATTGAGTGCTGAAACTCGTTTTGGATTCGAGGCCTTGAGCGGCTTATCCATTGTCTTCCCAACCAGGGTGTATAGGCTGTCTTGAGGCGACTCTCGACTCGAGATATCTCCGTGCCGGTTTCTGACCGGAGCTCGTATACCTTGTAGAGACCTTCCCTTAGGAAAGGAGGGGGCCCTTTCTTCTTGTTTGCACTATCTGAGGTTGGAGAGAGGGAGAAGACTTAGATCTTGATTTGAGATCTTCGAGCTCCCCTTCGAGTTTGGCGCTTCTTTCCTTTTGGGTCCAGGGAAGAACTACGCGATTTTGCTATGAAGTCCCCACAGACGGCGCCTTTGCTCAAAAGTTATCACAAAACTTACGAGTATAAAACAATATAAATAAATCACGGGATAATCATAGCAAATCGTAATAATCCGTTTGACCCAATGAAAGAAACGAAAATAAGTACTCAGGAATAAGGGTAGAAGCATTAGAAATCTTTATTGATAATATTTGTTTGGTCTGCCTCTCCATGGAGAGGTTCAGAACCTTACCATGGTGTTTTCTCTTCCCATAAGAGGGGTATCTTTTCTTGTTTCTCTCTCCTCTCACTAGTGGTGAAGAAGCAGGGTCCCCCCTTTTCTAGGATCCCTTCTCTTGGTATTTATAGCTGTGGGCTTCATGAGCTGTCAATAAGTCGCCGTGACCACGTTGAGATCTCGCCTTTATAGTGGCGGATAGGCCAGGGCCTTTGTTGACCGAGCCAGGGGCGGGTTGAACGTCGTTAATTATTAGTGGTCGTGCCACTAATTAATCGTGAATTAACTTAAAACGGGATTAGCCTCGTTAATTATCGTGGGGTAGGATTCTGACCCATACAACAATGTTACAAACTAATAATATCTCATTTGCCAATATGCTAAATGACTGCAGGCACCTCCTGGGCCAGCTCGGTAATCCGCTAGTCCAACATGCGTACAAAGAATAAAATAGGGTAGCGAATCAACTAGCAAAGGCAGGCAAATGTTTTGCAACCAAATCTGTGCCATGTGTTTATGGAACTGTACCAGTTTTTGTGAAGCAAGTTTTTGAAGATGATAGAAAGCTCTTTTTGGATTCAGTACCCAGGCAGGAACCTGTTTTGTGTAATATCAACTGCATTGCCAACAACGATATGTATGTTAGTAGTAGTAGTAGTAGTACTGTACCATGTTCTAGTAATAGTCTAGTACCATATTATAGTAGTTTACCTTGTAATAGTATGCTACAAACGCCACCCTCTGTACGCACCAGTTAATATATACTATATATATATATATATATATATATATATATATATATATATATATATATATATATATATATATATATAGCACCAAAATAAAACTGGTGTACCTTTTATTGCGTCTTGTTTCTAGTTTCCCAATTTTACCATATTCCACCACACTTATTTGCAACTGCAATGCGGACTTGAAAAGAAAGCAGTTTCTTTGATCGAACTTCATGTTCTGTGCACCGGCAGTCTCACACTAAAACAAACTTGCATGGATGAAAATAGCTGGTGCTGTTCCATTTGTCAATGTGCAAAGCCCTTTTCTGTAATACAGATAGAAACTTGTAGAACTAATTGTATTGGGCACTGCAGGTTTGTGAAGCACAACCTCCAAAGCTAATCTATTTGTGTTTCTTATCTTTCAAATTAAAGATAAGTATATAACAAATAAATAGTGGTGCATGATTTTTGGTTGTTCGTGGAAGGTTGAGGGCCTAATGCGCTTGATGTTGGACATTTCAACCTAGGAAACCCAGGTGAATTCACAATGCTTGAAGTTGCAGGGCCTAATGCGCTTGATGTTTTTCTTTGCATAGTTTAATAGGTCTTCATCCTCTTTGTATCGGCTAGTCTGATAGTATTTTGTCTAGGACTGCTAGCGGTTTATGTTGTGTTTCACACTTTTGCAAGTATTTGTGTTATTGCTTTTCCTTTTATTTGTTGTCTCTCCCATTGCTGATATTATTTTTCTGGTTTCTGTTGTTGTCACGGATCTATTGTCTCTGAGCCGAGGGTCTCACGGAAACAGCCTCTCTACCCCTCTGAGGTAGGGGTAAGGTCCCCAGACCCCACCGATGGGTTGTTGTTGTAGTAGTTTAATAGGTCTTCATATAAGCCTGTCAATTTTGCATTTGGATTTATTCCATTTAACAATTTTGTTGTAGACATGAACCTCTCTATATTATGAAAATAAATAGCTGACAATATTTGCATCCAATGGAACTGACAAATCAATCGGCTTTCCTGGAAACTTCTTAGAAACTGATTACTAAGGCAACAGTAAATGGGCAAAGAGAAGCGCGTGTCTTTAAGTTCAGCTTGGGGTTTGAGAAGAAATAAATGCTATGCTAGTTCCTGATCTAAATTACTACTTCCTCCGGTCCAAAATAAGTGATTTTTTGGATGTTTTCACACAAATTAAAAAATCCACCTTTTAGCATTAATTAGCTATGGAATTGACCATATTAACCTTTACTATCTCACATAAACATTCCTAACACATATTCCAACACCATTTACTTCAAGGACAATGTAGGAAAAAAATAATTAATTCATTCTTGAAATCTGGAAAAATCACTTATTTTGGACCACAAGAAAAAGGCCAAAAAATCACTTATTTTGGACCGGAGGGAGTAGTAAAATAGGGGGTTGGTTCGTATAACATGTAGTATTGGTTCATTTCATGGGTTTTCCTCATTCTCTGCTTCCTGTTAACACATACTACTAAAATCTCAACCAGGAGAAGAAAACTACGAAATAAAGCAGTAATTGAATGACCAAAATCCATATATTTCCATTTTAAAAATAAAAAACAACAGGTCAATTAGTTTCGTGGGATTTAAATAAAAAGTTTGGAGGATCTTTGAGGAGAATGAAAGGATTCAAAGTAACAAAACTTCAAGTCCGAAAGGGGGATGGTATGCAACAAGACAACAAAGAGAATAGGCATTTGCTTCGCGCGCATCATCTACTTAAACAAAAAGATCATCTCGAATTGAAACGCACCAATCATAGACTACAAAACAAATAGTATGAAAGAAGAAGAGCTCATCTCATATCAGCATATCTGAGCTAAAGAACCTAGACAAACACTCAAGATCGCATGAACTATTAAAACAAAGACGAAAAAGACAATACCACAGCTCTGAAATGCATATTGCTTGAGTGGTGACAAGTTTGATGGTGAGCATTCAACAAATTTGATCAGTTTTGTTTCCTTAACCAATATTTGCCTGTAAAGTTATTTTCCTATTTAATTTTTAAATAGCTTTTAAAGGTATATATAGAGAGAGAGAGAGAGGGGCTTTTGAGGCATTACATGATGCCTTATCGGTACATTTAGTAGCTTTTATGGACTTCTCTATGATCGAAAATACATTTTATTTTGGCTAATTTAATTTGGCAAAAATAATTATGACTTTAAAAAATCAAGAAGGCATTAATTAGTATTTTTCCTAATTATCCTTGAACCAATAAATAATCTACAAAATATGAATATATACAAGAGTAATTTAAGAAGATATAAAGGATAACTTAGTTATATAACACTTTTATTAATGCTATTAAATGATTCTCTTAATGGGTATGTGAAAAACTTAGAAGCACTTATTTTGAACAAAAGGTAGCATCGCCTAAGAAACTATCCATAACTATTTTAATAACTTGATATTTTAAGTAAAATTTCATATTACCGGTGCATATATAAATTAAGAAGAAAATTTACACACACACTAATTAGCACAACCTAGGCATAGTATTATTGGGCCCAGCGCATCCCTTACTAGTAGAAATACAAACCAATAAAAGCAGGTTGTAGCAGCTTATGTATAACTTCCAAATTAGAGAAAATATTTGAGATGTATGGAAGTAAAGAAGAACCAGAGTAGCAATGGCTGCACAAGAAACAGAGATTCAAATAATTGAAGGTTACCTTTCCTCTCAGATTTAAAATCAAAGATATGGTAGAAAGGATCCAATAGTGTGGCCTGATCTTCTTCTTTGATCTGTCAACAGTAACAGTTTGTAATCTTATAATGTGAGCATATAAGGGTCTTATAATATGAAAATCTAAGGGGAAACTGAGCAACAAACATCAGCAAGTGACTCGAACCAGAATTCTCATTACTCACTGCACACTAATCTATTCCTCTTTTTGGTACATACGCTAATCTACTCTCTGCTCTCTCACAAACAAGAAGATAGGTTTACTGCAAAGTCAACTTTTCTTTGCCTTTACTCTCTCTTTTTCCTTTTATGATTTATATCATCTCTTTATTCTGCATAAAGACAGGAAAATAGGAGACTCTATATCATGCTACAATCTTGTATTGAAGAATTTAAGGACGTCACAAATTTATCAACCTTAATCAACAATATGGTTTGATGGACATACTAGATTTATAATCAGTTCTTGAATATAATGAGACTTTAGCAGGATACAAAGGGCAATCTTACTAAAAGGAACAAATACTGGAGGCAGTCTGCAAAAATTTACTCCTCCAATTTAGTGTACATTAGATTCCAAGTGTGTAGAACAAATACTGGAGGCAGTCTGCAAAAATTTACTCCTCCAATTTAGTGTACATTAGATTCCAAGTGTGTAACTTGCTATTTGCTGGATGCCAGTTCCGTACTTCTAATGATTTCAGTTTTTCATCCGTTGAGACAAAATTGGACAAATGTAGTAACAGAGATTAAACCAAAGGTGTTGCTTACTGCAGTGCTGCATACGCCATAAACAGTAATCACAAAACATGTGCGGTCAGAATCGCAGACAACATAGTATCTGCAGAAGAAGAGTAGAAGATGAGACAAAGAGAAATAATGCTGCAGTCGGAAGGTCTGTCGCTTAAGTTTCACTTCCGAAGAAATACTGGAAAGGAAAAAAGTGGCAAACGAACTGCTGTAGATTCTTCTAAGGTGAGGTAACTTACATTGGATTTTCACTCAGATTCTTAAGCGAAAACAGAACTTTTCCTGTGACTGCTTTTCTTAGATTAGGACCTTCAGTTAGGCGGTCCAAAGTAGCTTTCTCATATGTAGGATTCACTACAAGAAAGTATTTGCCCAATTTAAGGATAACAAACTTAATCCAATATCGCATTGTTCTGAAAAAATTAATATTTAAGACGCATATAAAGCTTACAATCAACAGAAGCAAGTGATGATGCTAGTGATTCAACAGCAGGAAGCGATGATGTAGGAGAACCATGCAGCTTAGCCCCATTCAGATCCTGAAAGACAGGATAGAGTTATTCAACTACATCCTTCATAATCTCATGCATAATAGATAATGATAAAGGTGTCAGAAGTGGTAGATATATACAAACTCAAAATCTAATGCATGAGATACATTGTTGCTTTCTCTTGCTTGAAAAAACAAAGAGAAGAAATAAGAAACAATCAGATTGTAAACTTAAAACCAAGCATAAGGTCAGTACATTCTTACATTGGGTCTCATTCAGCTTATTAAGTGGGTAAGACGAATTGATCGATAGACAAATCTAAGAAAAACTCCTTTGTCTTATGGGCATAACTACTCGGTGCATGAAGATTTTCTTGGAACTAGTATCTTCAATATCCTTTTAGTCCTTAATTATTGCGTCTTAGTAGATTTCCCTTTTCCCTTGTACTTTTTTTTTCTCCTGGCTATGGTTACACTTGTGAAGGGTTGTCAAAGCCAAAATTTGCAGATATAGAGCAGCATTTGAAAGCATCTCAAGATACAAATATTGTGTTGTGTTAGGATGTGAAACACATCCACAGTATGTAACTCTGATGATGCAAGCAGTGTTAACTCATGCTTGATTTCCACACTTGTGACAGGCAATATACGTGGATCATTAGTCATTACAATCCTTTAACAGGAAGATTCCTAACTGGGAGCTTCACTGCTTCAGACATTGATATCAATGATGAATCAGATATGAGAGCTCATGGATTATGGCAACTTAACCAACACTTTAATCTGATATTGTTTGCCGAGACTTAACCTAATTCGCTTTGAATTCTATTGCAGTCTATCATGAATTTCTTAACGTATCCCAACTGAACAAACAAAATATGACTGCAAATAATTTATATAAGAAATAGCCACAATTAAATAAACTTACCTGAAGGAAAGAGTTTATTCCCTCAAGAATCTCATACAGATTAAATGCTTGCTCTAGAGCATTATGACCAGGATCCATTAATTCAGCAGCTTCAAATCCAGCAAGGGCCGTCTCATAGTCCTCAAAATACTTGTATGTCTATAGAACCAAAACATAGATTCACCAAAAGAATGTATTGAAATTTGAGAAGGAAGAAAGCGCAAACAGCAAGATATAAGCAGACGTGAAATGTGCTGGTGAAGAAAATAGATGCTTTCTTTGAAAGTCTACTAGTCCTTTCATGACTATGCATAAAATGTTCAAGGTTAAAAGGCAGAAGGATAATTCAAGCACATAAGAAGCGTCATAAAGAGGATTTTCTGTTTAGTTTGCTTTTTGCGGGCAACAATCAATCGTGCATTAAATCAAAGTGAACCTGGAAAGTCTTTCCTTACATGCTTCCACGAACTTCCAAAAAAAACTCTGGAACACATAATTTATGTGCTAGAACAATTCAGAAGGAGAATTGGCTGATAGACTTACCATCACGCAGTTGTAACACATATGAGAACTGATCCTCATCCTTTCATCTTTCTTCTGAAACAGAACACAAAATTAGAGGAGGCTGTGAGTAAAAAATGTAGACCTAAAGGCTAAAACTGCAAAACAACCTTAAAATATTATGGAGTCAATAAATAAATATGAAGCTCATGATCAGAAATACTAGAAGAGAGAGACTGCAGAATGTCCCATGAGGAAAATGATAAAAGGGAGACGACAGAGTAGGCATATTGTGAGGAAGCTATTAATGCCAAGGTAAACTGGTGAGATGCAATACTCACAGCATTCTTGTATCCTTTTAGTGACTGCAGAAGCATATTAATGTCCCAACATCCCGTCAGAAAATAGGCAGTGAGACATGCGACTCCTAGTATGTCTGCCAGAAAAGATGAAAGACCATTAAAGAAACCCGAGTTTAAATATAACCAACTTTTGGTAATGAATAATCAATCCTGTGATTTGACATAGCACGATACCAAAATAACTGTGCTTATAAGTGAAATATAACATGCAATTTGCAAGGCAAGTACAAATTTTATGATGCTTCAAGAACCTATGCTAGTTTCCATGTCCATGTTCGGAACATAGTTAGTTTCTGTTCCTTCAATTTTTCAGTCTTCTAAAAAAGTCATCTAATTCGGAACACAAGAAATACAAACAAATCCATCATTTGAGAAGTCTTGGGAACTAACGAAATTTTAATTAAAGCCCAAGAAGCAGCATGCATAAAATGATACCTGTTCAAGGCCACAGTTTAAGCAACTTTTAGCTTTATCAAGATCTCTTCTCTTCCAAACACAAGTTCCTAGGCATATTCCCGGATCCACCATATACTGACTCAACTTAAACTGCAACAAAATATCCACATAAAAGATAGAAAGAAGAAAACCAAAATAGACAAAAAGAAATACTAGCATGCATGAGATAATTTTGCTCACAGCGTCAACATTCTCAATTTTCAATCTAATGCCTCTTTTGTACTATTGTTTCTCTACATTACTTTTTTCTTCTTTTTCTTCTTCAAACAAATTTATGTCTTCTTCTAAAATTAAATTCTTCTTGCCACCTCTCTTTTTAAAGTGCTCTTCTGCTTCTCTCTTCTGCTTCTCTCTTCTACTTCTCTCTTCTACTACCTTAATTTACCTATTGAACTAAATTTAAATATGAAGCTGAATGCTGCAATTACTTCTTCTTATGGTTGATTAATTCAAATTAAAAATTAAGTTTGTGATTGTTTCACATTTCTTGCTTTCACGTCGGGAAATTGAACATTTAATGTATTCCGTGAACAATAACAGAGCATTAAAATCATATAGCATAAAAAATAATAAAAATCTTGTAGGTTCAAAAACTTACCGACAAGGAAAAAAATCCAGCAGAAAGACCTGATATCACCAAATAAAAGTAACGTAAAATTAGAGTAGTTAGACACGTAATACTTGAAAATAAGAACCCTAGATAAATTACGAACCAACACTTAAGCGAAATTACATGATTTTTTCCCAAAAAAATTAACACCTCAAGATCATTATGAACCAACGCTTTTGAAGAAAATACAAGTTACCTCTGGTATCAGTACTTATGATCATAAAACCTTTGATGACCAGCCATTTGCCCAGCGGATTTCTCAAAATTTCCACATACTGGACACTTGTACTTAGTAACTTTGTGAACTTCTTTATAATGACGGAGCAGGACTCTCTTATTAGCACAGTGCTTGCCACATTCAGTACATTTCGCATTCGTTTTGGATGGCGGATTGTGTAAGAGTAGGTCTTGCTTTTCCTGAGAAATATTGTCATAATCTTCGACGGCGATAGCTGCCATAAACACATACAGGTGATGTGAGAGTAACAGAGAGGGGTGATGTGAGAGTAAGAGAAACAGAGAGCGGTGATGTAATCGTGTAGGAGCAAAAAGTGTTATGAGAGAGAGTGCATGCGATTGGGCCGTGCCTTAAATGAGGTCAGTTGTGCGGTTATGAAAATATTTGGAGACTGCAATTAATATCGGGAAAATATGGCTTCATACCCATTAAATTCAAACTATTTATCCTTAAATACATATACCTAAATTATTTACTTTTCCTACCTATGCAATCAATACTGTTTACGCGCCCACATGATTTCTTTATATCGGATCCAAGTCACATTATCAAATCGATCCAGCACTGCAAGAATCGATTGGGGGTTTGAAAATGCAAAGGGCATTACTATTCCATTGATCTCCATTGGTAAGTGGTAACTTTTCAGTAACTTTTGCAGCATTAACACGCAAAGGGCATTACTACTTCATTGGTCTCCAGTTAAATGTAGCTAATATTATTCTTTGATGTGTAGATTGTACCTTTGATGCTGGTTTTTGGAGATTTATTGTACAAAAATTTAAATCCATCATGGACGGACCTTGAAGCTTGAAACTCATAACTTGGTTTGTTTGAGTTTTTAATTGTTTTGATCCGATCCTGTATGGGTTAGTTTGGAAAGTTGATTGGAGGTTGTAGCTAAAGTTTTAGTCAATTTGGTGGAGATTTTGTAGTAAATTTTAGAAATTTGGGTTGAAATATAGTTGAACCAGAGAAGGTGACGAATTTGTATTGTATACCCAAATAGTATACAAATATACCATTTTAGTATACAATTCATTCCAACTATATACCTTATTAGTATAGCTATATACTATACTGGTATCATATGCTAGTTGAATTATTTTTTGGTTGTATTAGCTGCATTTAATTGGTACAATATTTGATATTCTTTTAATAATAGTAATATAGTACAATATCTTGAAATACCTTATATTAATATGTGGTACACTATTTTTTTATTTTTTTTCTTTATGCATGTGTGTTATGTAATAGTAGTATAGTCATATAGTTGTCGGGTTTTAACTAGTAAAACTGTATAACATGTTGGTATAGTTATATGCCATATTGGTATCATATGGTAGTTTGAACATTGTTTTGGTTGTTTTAGCTGCATTTTAAGTGAATTCTATTGTGAAATTATTTATATCAACATGAGTTGCAATAATGCTGGAATTTTTGTGTGCCGATGGACATAAATTATGTGTATTAATAGTTTTTATAGTTATAGGCAATTGTTGGAACGACCCCATACAACTATATACCCTCTTAGTATACGAAATGAGCAAGTTGTTTTGCGAATATTTAGCTTGCAATACGAGCATGTAATTTTTTCATACTTTTATTGCGTCCTTTAATGTTTTGGTTAAGTAGTATAGTCGCAGATTGTTGTAGCAATATTCTAGAGAATCATATGCTCTGTTGGTATACATATATACCATATTGGTATCACATGGTACTAGAAGTCTTTTTCGCTACTTATACTTTTGTTGTATTTTTTAATATTTTATTATCATTTTTATTCTAACTAGTATATATGGAGATTTGGTTGCCGTAGATTATGTTTTCTTGCTCTATAACTGGTTGTATTACTGCTAATGGTAGAGTGTGTATTGATATTTATAGGGAAGGAGATCAAGGTTTGCATGGCAATCACGTGTTGATTATTAGAATCTGATTATGTAATTTATGATGCTCAACGGCAGTCAATGTGATATTCAGTGTATTAGATCAAGTGACAACTGATATTATTCCAGTTTAATAATTGAATTTAAAAAATGAGAAAGAAAAAAAAATAAAAGGTATATTGTACTAGTTATATTAAAAAAATTTAAACAAATATTTACTACATCAACTATTTTCTTATTGTATAAAAAAAGAATAATAAAAAATAGTGAAATGGTAAATGAAATTAGATTAGGAAGAGAAAAAAAAAAGTTAAATGAAATTAGAAAAGGAAAAAAGAAAAAAATAAGAAGAAAACAAGAAAAAAGAAAAGCAGAAAAGAAAAAAAAAGAAGAAAAGAAGCATAGAAATAAAAGAGAATTGGAGAATAAAGAAAAAATTTCCTACAAAAACTGCTACGGGTAGGAAATGTAATTAGTTTATGGGTAGAAAAACAAATGGGTAAACAAGGGTAAATAGTTTTATTTTTATGGGTAACTGTGTCAAAAACCCCTTAATATTTTCTATTATGTTTATTTTTTTCCCTTAATATTCAAATATTTACTTAAAATACCCTTTTTCATCTACTTGAAACTGCTATGAAATCCTTAATTAATATACTTCATTTGTTCCATTTTATTTTACGCTATTTCCTTATCGTTCACTTCCAGAAAAATTTGACACATTTTAATATTTAGATTTTCATCATCTCTATATATACAATTTTGTCGTAAGATTGAGTTTGAAAATGTGAAATTTGATATTCGATATTCATTAGAGCTTGATTATCTCGAGACACAATATCATATTTGAATCTCGTTAAAAAACTGAATTCTCTATTCTTTTTTTTTTCCAATCCAATAGGCAGGTGCCTAGGGCTAGTTTTATTAATACTAAAAAAGAAAAAAAAAATCCTCATAGGACGAGTACAAATAGCTTATGCTAATCCTAACGAGGCAAATAAAAAAACCTCACTACCTAACAAGCATGTAAGAAAAATTCTATGATCAATCTGTGATGATATTACATAGAATTATACTAATGTGATAATAAAATAAAAAGATGAAGAAACCACCATGGTGCTCTCTTTTCTCTAATCTAGTGAAATCTTCAAATTGTAGATTCTTGTCTTCGTCCACAACTCTTTTCAAAATGTCTTCAAAAATCATGATTTTTTCTTCGAACGGTTGGACTTTGTAGATGTAGTTTGAGTGATCTGTTTTTGTTTTGCATTTCTTATTTGGAGTCTCCTTATGTTTGTATCTTCAATAATTCTACCGTCCCAACTTTTGTCCCTTGTACGTGACTTTTTCCTTTTGCCGCTATGCATTGGTGATAAATCACCTTTTCTTGCTGCCTCTGCCATGCATTGGTTCATAATATCCTCTTCTTCACCCTCTACAAATATATCTCTGCCCACATTCACCGGATTTGGCATGTCTTGACCACAGATTTGTGTAACCAATGTAGTTTCACCTTGTGCTTTAACTATGCTTGCCTTGTTTTGTTGTTGTGTTTGTACAGCAGTCCTGCTCCCCTTCCCACGACCAGTACTATAAGCATTACGATTTAAATGGTTAAGAGAATCAGAACTTACTAGTGCATCCAACAGTTTTCTATCATCTAACGACATAGCTGGTGCAGTTGTTACTATTTGTTGCTGCCTCGTCTTTGCATTCAGTACTGTTTGGATCTCTTTGAGACAGCTGCACAGAAAGTGGTGATACTACAATTTGACTCGTAGAAATACCTGGAGCAGCCTGCTTGGACGATGTTGCTGCATCACGTATTAAGGTTCCAGCTACTGCCTGCTTAGGAGATGTTAGTGTCTGAACCAAATTTCCAGCTGCTGTATTTTGATTACCAGCAATTGGAATGTTTCTGGGGATAAAATCAGGTGCATGGAGGTTCAATTTACTCTTGGGGCTCGTTGATGTTGTCCCCTGAATCTTTGGTATTATTGGAGAATCAAGCTCCTCGCCTGCACTCTCCTGTTCCACCTCCTGTTCACCTTCTTCAAATTCATACCCTGCAAATCCATCTCCGTAGTCTTCTTCATCATCTTCCTCCCTTTGCTCTTGCCACAACTTGGACTTAATAACCATCAACCTCAAGTTTGCCTTTATTACCTCATTATTATTTCCTCTAGACAACATAGGCTGCCCAGATTCCCCTTCAAACTCCCCAAACGAATCCACTGATTGAGAAGGGACATCACGAACGGAAGTGTTTAGAGTGACTAATGGTTGTTTAACCATGGTAGTGTTCCTCACCATTTCTTGTTGAACATATTTGATAATTTGCTCGACATGGGGATTGGAAAAATGCAGTGTAGGCACATTAGAACTGTGGGCTTGAACATTCACCACATCAGTGCTTAAAACGTTGTTTGAGGCATTTAGTCGACTGCCCAGCTTTTTATCCAGTTCATGACTGCCTTGTCCTCCTCGATCATTGCTGGGCATTGGAACTAACTGTTTGAATGTCTCATTACCCTTTAAACCTGTTGCATCAGCTTCAGATTCCCCAGCATTACCAAGAACCTCGAATTTATTTGAATTGGATCCATTGTTAAAAGAATTCCGTCGATCACTTTCTTTCTGCTGTTTTGGTGAGGTACCTCTTTTTGTGGGAGATTTTCTGGGTGTTACTACATTCCAGACCTCTCATTTTTTGTTTTGGTCTTTACTCTTACCATCATACTTTAGATTACCATCGTTGCCTTTCACCAAATCACCCATATTTCCTTTCTCTTTTCCTCCAAAAAACTGGTCCTCACCATAACTACAGGCCCCCATTTCTGCACTTTGCACAGTAAATTTTTTTTTCTGGATTATGGACCTCGTCTGCAGTTACATTGTGTGAAGCCCTATCAATCTGCACCATATCACCTAGCTCAACACCTGCATTGATCTGGCCTTGATTAACCTCACCATCAATATCAAATATCTGAGCATCAATCTGAACCTTAGCACCCATTGGCCCTGTAGGTTCTGCAATTTTTGACTTTGTTCCTCCAGTTGGTGTTTGGGATATAACAGTATTAATTCCCACATTCCCACCTGGTATATCAGTTCCAGATTTTACCAAATCCTTTCCTACATTACTTTGAACCCCTTCAGCTTTATCAATTACCCCTGATCCAATGTGTGCATTAACAGAAGGTCTAGCACCTACATGTGCCTTAGTTTGATCAACCTTCCCTTGTCCTGTAACACCTGTAGATTCCAAGCCTTCTTTCATTCCTTGTTGTTCCACCTCATGAATCACATATTTACCATTAGGAGCAGTTTGGCTTTTAGTAGAACAATCAGTTGCAATCTCTTCCACACCC